AATCGTCCAAAATTTTCTACATGAAAAATAATTGAGTCGAGTTGCACCAAATTGCATGTTCAATTAGATTCTTTATTTTCTATCAATTTTTCTATACATTTGTAATTAATTGGAAAATTGCTTATTAGTACATCATCTTTCATTTTTTACAATTTACTCACCATATTTGTAATTTAACAATTTAATGTACCACCTTTACAATATTTGTATATCGAATCACGATTCACAGCTGCAGTTACAGAAATATGACATGACATTAACGAAAATAGGAATATTAATTATAAAATAATTATTTAACTTCCATATATCAGATTGTTGTTTTTGTTTTTTTGTTATTGTATAACTATAATACAAAATAGGCATATTAATTATAAAATAATTTAATATTGTATATTCAAAACATTTAAAATCTTATAAATTTGTTAAAGAATAAAATATTAATAATAAAGTTTTACTTGTGTAACTATCATTTAAATGTTGGTCATAAAGATTTTTATTAAATGAAATCATATTTTTATTAATTGTTGGCTGAATAAAATTTCTTGAAGTTTGTTAGCAATTATATAGTTTATTAGCAATTATATATATATAGATAATTTAATTTGCATCCATATTTAGTGTTTTTTGTTGTCTCTGTTGGGGATTTTACAAGGGGATTAGGGATTTTAGCATTTTAGTTGGCTTTCCAATGTCACGTCAATGCCACATGTGGCCACGTCAACACACGTTTATTTCTGGCAATGACATGTCAGATTTTTATAATTGGAGCCGTGAATGATGAGTCAATTTGCAAATATAGTAAATATGGTGTCTTAAATTACTAAGTTATAAAGATGTTAATTAAATTGCAAAAATATAATATTTGGTGTATTAATATGAAACTAGTACATAGTCCGTGCGATGCACGGGGTGCACAATTTTAAGGCTATTTATCCAGGCTTATAATTATATACATGAATAAAAAAAAATGTACGGAATATATATAGTACGTGTGAAGCACGAGATATATTTATTTGGAGAATATTATATTATAAGATGCAATATTAAATAAAAGTTTATAATACGCAAGAAATTGTATAATGTTCAATAAAAATTTTATAATATTCAAGTGGAGTCTAAAAGTCTCTTGTACATTAAGACTACTGACAAAATAATATTTTAGTCAATGAGTTTCCTTTCCTTGTAGCCAAATTGTGAATGTGATTTGAGGAGTACAACAAATCGATATATAGCTGACTTGCTTTTCTCATTGTAGTTTTTTTTTATAATGAATTTAAAGATATTCTAAAATATTACAAAAATTAATTTTGTTATTACAATTAGGAATTTTACTAAATATAAACTCTCAATCTATGGTGTTAATCAACGCTTAAGTCTAAAAAATTAGGAATTTTTACCTCTTTTAATCAACGTTTAAGTCTAAAAAACAATAGAGTTATTATAAGTTTTTTTTCTATATTTTTTAAAACATTAAATATGAGAATGTTAGGGCTAGCTTGTAAAATAATTAATATATTATCTCACTAAAACATTTATACTAATAAAAATTTAATTTTAGCATATAAATTTATCCCTTGATATAAGAGAAAGTAACAGTTTTACTTAATGTTGTTCACCATATAATATTTAATTATTATTTTATTATATAATAAAAAAGGAATATTGTTAAATAGTTTAGTAGAATTGTTATAAAATTATATGA